ACTAAAAATACAAACATTAGCTGGGTGTGGAGACATGCACCTGTAGTCCCAGCTACTCAGGAGGCTGAGGCACGAGAATCACTTGAACCCAGGAGGTGGATTTTGCAGTGAGCCAAGATTGTGCCACTGCACTCCAGGGACAGAGTAAGACTCCATCTTAAAATAAGAAGTCATGGCAGGGTGCAGTGGCTCACGCCTGTAATCCCAGCACTTTGGGAGGCTGAGGCGGGTGGATCACTTGAATTCAGGAGTTTGAGACCAGCCTGGGCAACATGGTGAAACCCCGTCTCTACAAAAAAAAATAATAATAATACAAAAAATTAGCCAAGCATGGTGGCATGAGCCCGTGGTCCCAGCTACTCAGGGGGCTGAGGCACGAGGATCGCTTGAGCCCAGGAGGTGGTGGTTGCAGAGAGCCAAGATAGTGCCACTGCACTCTAGCCTGGGTAACAGAGCAAAACCCTGTCTCAAAAAAAAAAAAATTATTAGGCCGGGTGCGGTGGCTCACGCCTGTAATCCTAGCACTTTGGGAGACCAAGGTGGGTGGATCACCTGAGGTCAGGAGTTCAAGACCAGCCTGGCCATCATGGTGAAAACCCATCTTTAAAAAAAAAAATTATTAATTATAGGGCTTTTTGCATTCCAGATCTTTTGCTGAAATATTTTGTCCATTTTCTCATCTCCTAAACAACTCCTCTGTGAAGATAGGATTACAGATGAGACAACTGAGTCTCCAATAAGCTGAGTAATAGACTCATAGCTATCAAGATGCTAACAGTGGTACTCAAATGCAGATTTTCTGTCAAGTCCATGCATTTTCTACATTTTGTTCTGATGAGGTAGTTTACTGTGTATAACACACACACACTCCAAATCCTCATTTTGAAGCTGAAAACAATAGTATATCTATTAGGTGGAACCATATGAAATTGCCAATATTCAAATGCTGATGGCCCATGGAAAGGGCAATTTCATACGGTTGACCCAACGCATCTCTGAATTGCTTGGCACTGAACTAATTTGGATAAAGGTAGCCTCCTGACAAAGAAAAATCAACATTTTTTTTTTTTTTTTTTCCTGAGATGGAGTCTTGCTCTGTTGCCCAGGCTGGAGTGCAGTGGCATGATCTCCACTCATTGCAACCTCCACCTCCCAGGATTAGGCAATTTTCTGTCTCAGCCTCTGGAGTAGCTGGAATTACAGACGCATGCCACCATGCCTGGCTAATTTTTTTTTTTTTTTTTTTAGTAGAGATGGGGTTTCACCATCTTGACCAGGCTGGTCTTGAACTTCTGACCTCATTATCCACCCACCTTGGCCTCCCAAAGTGCTGGGATTACCGGTGTGAGCCACTGCGCCCAGCCTAGAAACCAACCTTTTTAATGAGACAATGAGTTTTCTTTCACCATCAATAGACACCACATAACTTTCTTTTTCTTTCTTTTGAGACAGGGTTTCACTCTGTTGCCCTGGGTGGGGTGCAGTGACGCAATCTCAGCTCACTCATTCGCGCCTTTCTGGCTCAGGTGATCCTCTCACCTCAGCCTTCAGAGTAGCTGGAACCACAGGTGCATGACACCACACACCAGGAAAATTTTCTGTGTATTTGGTAGAGATGTGTAGAGATGTCGCCCAGGCTGGTCTTGAACTCCTAGGCTCAAGCCATCTGCCTGTGTGGGCCTCCCAAAGTGCTGGGATTACAGGTGTGACCCACTGCGCCCGGCCCACACAACTTTCTAGAGAAGGGCTCCCCATGTGTCATGCTCTGGAGACTACACAGCTCCCATTTGGCCAGAGAAAGCCGTTTGCTTCTGGAAGGCACTGGTCTCTCAGATGGGGCTGCTCATCCCCACAGCTGCAGGCCATGAGCCACTCGCCAGAGAGAAGCGTCAACTGGAACAAAACTGCTCTCACACCTCTGTCAACCCCCATGCCCTACCCCACGGTCCTTGGGTGGTCTGCCTTCACCGTGGGAACTTCTGGGTCATCACGGCTGTTTCCCATGAGGTGGGGAAGAGGGTGGGAACACGGCGTTGTTATGAACTCCAGCCTGTTTCTTCCTCCCCATGTTCTCTTTCAGTTGAGCTTGTTCATTACCCCTACACACACAAGTCTTGGGCGGAATGGGAGGGAGGAGGTTAGCATTTCCTTCCCCTACTGAAAGGAATTGGGGCAGGGGGAGGGGGGAGTGGAGGAGGCAGAATTCAGAGGAAAAGCTGTGTCTGGGGAAAGATGTGGCACTGATACAGAATGACCCATTTAAAAGGGCCATGGGAGGCAGCCCATGCGCTCGGGTTTTCAACAAACTGAGCTGTATACGTGAGCAAACACACCTGCACACACACACACTGAGACGCTCACCGCTCCACGTTTCCCAGCACCCGCAGCCTCTCTCAGAGCACTCACCTGAAGGTGTCAAAATTCAGGCCAGTAGCAAGTGTAGGCAGGCGCTCAGTATGTCTGTCTCTCCCCCTCTTTTCCTTTCCTTCCCCCCTCCCTCTTGCGCTCTCTCGCTCACTCAATGTACAAAGGGCATTTTGATGAGAACGAAAGGGATGAGGTTGGGAGCAGGGTGGGTGACGGTGAGATTGATAAGGAAGAAAAAGATGGGAGAATTCGGGAACTCCAAGCCCTGCGCACTGCAATCACTGAGCATTCAAACATCTGCCACGTGGGCGAAGACACTGATGGGGGAGTGGGTGAGAACAGGAGGACCCCAAAGAGAAGCTATGCCTTTTTCTGGACGTTGTTCGTTTCTTTCTTCATTCACTAAAATCTAGCAGGCACCATCTACCACGCACCCAGCTGTACGCCAGGTACTGGGGAAAGAGACAAGTAAGACCTAGAGGCTTGCTGGCCAGAGAAGGATCGGGCAGGGTTAGCCACTGACTCCTCCATCACCTTCAGACTTCAGACTGCCTCCAAAAAAAAGGACTTTGACAACCTCTAAGACCATCAGACGCATCCCAATTTCTGGCCTCCAAGGCTCTGTCTAGTCTGAGCCCATCCTGGCCTCTTCCGTCAGGAGAAGGGAATTAAGTTTATATAGGTGGTTATTTGCGTTTTAGCTCATTTACTGCATGTCATTCCATTTCTTTTCTTCTTTTTTTTTTTTTTTGAGACAGAGTCTCTTTCTGTCACCTAGGCTGGAGTGCGGTGGTGCAATCTCGGCTCACTGCAACCTCTGCCTCCCAGGTTCAAGCGCTTCTCCTGCCTCAGCCTCCCAAGTAGCTGGGACTACAGGCATGTGCTGCCAAGCCTGGCTAATTTTTGTATTTTTAGTAGAGACAGGGTTTCACCATGTTGGCCAGGCTGGTCTCAAATTCCTGATCCTGTGATCCACCCACCTCAGCCTCCCAAAGTGCTGGGATTACAGGCGTGAGCCACCATGCCCTGCCTTCTTTTTTTTTAAATTGAGACAGGGCCTCATTCTGTTGCCCAGGCTGGTGTGCAGTGGTTTAATCTCTGCTCACTGTAACCTCTGCTTCTCAGGCTCAAGTGATTCTCCAGCCACAGCCTCTGGGGTGGCTGAGACTATAGGCACATGCCACTTTGCCCTGCTAATTTTTTTTTTTTTTTTGAGACAGAGTCTCGCTGTCACCCAGGCTAGAGTGCAATGGTGTGATCTCGGCTCACCACAGCCTCTACCTCCACAGTTCAAGCGATTCTCCTGCCTTAGCCTTCCTAGTAGCTAGGATTACAGGCACCTGCCAGCATGCTCGGCTAATATTTGTATTTTTAGTAGAGACAAGGTTTCACTGTGTTGGCCAGTCTGGTCTTGAACCCCTGAACTCATGATCTGCCTGCCTTAGCCTCCCAAAGTGCTGTGATTATAAGCATGAGCCATCGAGCCTGGCCAATTTTTGTATTTTTTATAGAGATGTTGCCTAGGCTGGTCTTGAACTCCTGAGCTCAAGGCGATCTGTCTACTTGAGACTCTCAAAGCGCTGGGATTATAGGCCTGAGCCACCATGACGGGCTCCCATTCCATTTCACAGATGTAGAAAGTGAGGTGCGAAGCAGGTAAGCAATTTGCCCAGGTTGTAGCAGGGATTTAGACCTAGGCTGACTGGCTCCATAGCCCATGCTCTTCACCATCACACTGTATTGCTTTTCAGGAAAAGGCAGAGGGTGAGAAATGGAGTGGGTCCTGCTCCGATGACAGGCTGGGATGGGGAACAACTCTTGAATGGTTGTCAGGAGATATGGGTTCAAGACTTCATTTTGCCACAAACTTGACTGTGACTTTGGATAAGTCACTTAACCTCTCACAGCCACAGCCTCCTTTCCTATTTGAGAATTTTGATGAGATAATCTCTAAGCCCTTTTACTTTTAACAATCTATGATAAATTGGCCGGGCGCGGTGGCTCAAGCCTGTAATCCCAGCACTTTGGGAGGCCGAGGCAGGTGGATCACGAGGTCAAGAGATCGAGACCATCCTGGTCAACATGGTGAAACCCTGTCTCTACTAAAAATACGAAAAATGAGCTGGGCATGGTGGTGCGTGCCTGTAATCCCAGCTACTCAGGAGGCTGAGGCAGGAGAATTGCCTGAACCCGGGAGGCGGAGGTTGCGGTGAGCCGAGATGGCGCCATTGCACTCCAGCCTGGGTAACAAGAGTGAAACTCCGTCTCAAAAAAAAAAAAAAAAAAAAAAAAAACAATCTATGATAAATAAGCAATTTAAATGGCTATGTATGCTAGCAGCCAAATGTTAACTCTTTAACGTCAGTGAATGGGAAAAAGGCAGAAGAGGGAGATGGGCACAGTCCCAGGCCAAGCCACAACTGGAGAAAATAGGAACTGCATCCGGAAGGCACCCATTTGAAATGGGCCTGCAGAGGGTGAGGAGTGCGTGAGGACTCTGCTCCAGGTCAGGTCTGCCTGGCGTTTGTTGGGCCTGTGCTGAGCCAGCTCCCAGTCCCAGTGGATTAATACTCAGTCCCAGTGATGGCAGAGAACAGGGCCAGAAAGACACGCTGAGAACGGGAGGTGCTCACCATGACGATGTTGGCCAGATGGGCAGAGACGAGAGCATACACCCCTCCAGAAGAGCCCACGACTGGGGCGGTCATGTCAGCCACAGACACTGCCAAGGACCCTGGTACAGAAAGACAGCGAGAATTCTCAGGAATGCAGGACTCGGCTTGCCCACCCCAGCCCCAGGCCTTGGATTCTGCAGGCTCGGCGCTAAGACTCCAGAGCAAGAGGCTCCATCTCTTCCTCCTTTGAGTCCATGTTGCCAAGGAGCTTCCTATGCATTTCTGTTTGTTGTTGATTTTTTTTTCTTTTTTTTTTTTTTGAGACGGGGTCTAACTGTCACCCAGGCTGGAATGCAGTGATATGATCGGCTGACTACAGCCTTCACCTCCGGGCTCAAGTGATCCTCCTGCCTCACCTTCCCAAATACCTGGAACTACAGGCGTGCGCCACCATGCCCAGCTAATTTTTGTATTTTTCTTTGTGGAGACAGAGTCTTCCTATGTTGCCTAGGCTGGTCTCAAATTCCTGGACTCAAGCAATCCTCTTGCCTCAGCCTCCCAAAGTTCTGATATTACAGGTGTGAGCCACAGGGCCCTGCCTCCTATGCATTTCTTAGAGGATTAATTTCTGGCTAAAAGAACCATCTGATCCTTTGACTCAAAGAGGGAAGTGTCTTGCCCAAAGTAAAACTCAGACTTCTACTTGGATTATCTGCCTCTCAACCCAACCCCTGACAAAGGGCTACGTCAGGGTTCTGGAACTATAACAAAAATAGTAGCAGTAGTTATCACAGAAACAGCTGCCACTTAGGTGGCATGGATACCAGGCAAATATTTTATAGACTTTCTTCCCTTCAGCCCTCAAGACAGCCCTCTGAGGCAGGCACCAGTAGCCTCATTGCAGAGAGGAGGAGACTGAGCCCAGAGTCTCCTGGTAGGAAGTGCTGGAACCAGGATTTGCTTCTGGGTCTGCCTGATGCAAAACCTGTGTTCTTGACCAAAACTGTGCTCTTGGCTTCTCTAGTAGCCACGCCCTAAACTGGCCCAGAGGTTGTTAACCTCCACCCTCTACCATTGCTCCCTCTGATAAACAGCATCTAGAAAACTGCTTAGGGTTACTTCCACCCTTCCTCCAGCCTGGCTAAATCACAAGAGGCCAACAGCATCTCTTGAGTGGGGCTCCTTTGGAGGAAACACGTCCTTGAAGAGTCACAGGGACAAGAAGAGATGACGTCATACCCTCTGGGGGAAAGGAAGGGTACGCGAGGCTTGGTCTGGTGGATGACAAACTTTTGTCCTGCGAGGGAAGCTGGGCAAAGAGAAGATGGGATATTTATTGTTCTGGTCTCATTTAAGTGTGATCAATGCTTTGGCTTCCAGGGAAGGACATGGGAGACTAAAAATAACTAGGAGGTAGAGCCCAGGGCTCAGAGGATGAGAGGTGGCTGGCCTGGGTGAGTGTGCAGAAATTACCACTGGAAAATGCCCGAGGGCTCAAGAGCCAATTAGCTGCTGGAGAGAGGAGGGACAGGCAGAAAGCCAAATTCGGCAGGCTCTATGGGGTGCAAGATCCATGACTTAGGAGGAGGCTGGGCCCAGCCCCACAACCAGAGCACCAAGCACCTGGCAGCAGAGAGCCCCTGATAAACTCTTCCACCTCCCCTGCCCCCATCTCTATCAAGGCCTCTCCATGCACTGAGATCCTTCAAGAAAGAGATTCCCCACAACCAATTCTTGGTCTCAAGTGGGATATAATCTCTCAGGAAAAAAAGAAAAAACAAACAAACAACCTGTCATGAACTGAGGACTCCCAAGTCCTCCTCCCCTCCCAGGGCAACTATAAATCTTTCATGCCTTCCCTCTGGCTTTAATTAGGTATTGATCTATTGTCAGATAACTTTCTTTTGCTTTTGCTTTTTTTTACTGCCTAGCCACAGGGTCAGCCATATATAACAGGAAAGAAAAATCCCAGGGTGGCAAACACAGAGGCAGCAGGATCTGCATGACAAAGGTTTCCCACGCTCTCCTGGCAGGGCAGTCTGCGGAGGCTGCATTGCGGGGCTGCGAGGAGGGCTGGCTGCCCAAGCTGCTCCTCATTAATTACCCTTTGGACAGAGGAAGCCCTAGCCTCCCTAGGCTGGCCTCTCATCTCAGAGCAGGTCTGTACAAACCAGCCCAGAGTCCACTCCCTCACTCTTGCCCCAGCACAGTCCACCAAGGCAGAGCAGCCTCAGGGCAGCCCTAGGCAGGGAAGGGCCCCTGCCAGGGTCAAGCCAGCATACACTGACCTTTCCCTCACCCTATCCACAGCTCAGAGTCCTGACCCTAGGGTGAGGGGTCAGCTTGGGACTGTGGCAGGAGTATGGAAGGGGCCTGGCCGGCTAGCTGTGTGACCCTGGGCACAGTCCCTGAATTCTTTGGGCTTCAGTTTTCTTTCATGTCTGTAAAATGAGCTCTAAGGCTTTCCAACTTTTCAGCAGCAAAACTCTTTTCTTTTTTTTTTCCTCCAAGATGGAGTCTTACTCTGTTGCCCAGGCTGAAGTGCAATGGCGTGACCTCGGCTCGCTGCAACCTCCACCTCCCAGGTTTAAGCAATTCTCCTGCCTCATCCTCTTGAGTAGCTGAGATTACAGGCATGTGCCACTACACCCAGCTAATTTTTGTGTTTTTAGTAGAGGCAGGGTTTCACCATATTAGTCAGGCTGGTCTCGAACTACTGACCTCAGGTGATCTGCCCATCTCGGCCTCCCAAAGTGCTGGCATTACAGGCGTGAGCCGCCGTGCCTGGCCCAAAACTTTCTTTTCAAAGGAAACTTTTCCAGGACGCCCTAACCCATGGAGCAGAACACAAGCAGCAGCTCTGACTAAGCAGGGACGGTGCCTGGGAATGGTTTGCCACCGCTGGAGGGGATCCTCCCTGGTTCCTTCCAGATCAGAAATTCAGTGACCTGAGTCTTGGCTTGAGACCCAGGTCCGAAGCTTGGATCCTGATTCTGGAACCTTGAAGGTAACGGCCTGAACCCACCTGCCCACCATTGGTGATATAAAGACTTACAGGCCAGGTGCGGTGGCTCATCCCTGTAATCCCAGCACTTTGGGAGGCTAAGGGAGGGGGATCACCTGAGGTCAGGAGTTCGAGACCAACCTGGCCAATGTGGTGAATCCCCAATTCTACTAAAAAAAATACAAAAATTAGTTGGATATGGTGGTGCACGCATGTAGCCCCAGCTACTGGAAAGGATGAAGCACGAGAATCGCTTCACCCTTGAACCTGGGAGGTGGAGGTTGCGGTGAGCCAAGATCAGGCCACTGCACTCCAACCTGGGTGACAGAGTGAGACTTTGTCTCAAAAAAACCGTAAAACCCAAAAAAGAGCAAAGTCTTTCTTCAAGTGACTGCAGGTGATCCCTGGACTAGAGCAATTGGGAGAGACCATAGACAAACACGGGGCTGTGTACACACAAGCATAGTAACAAAGGCCCTCCCTGGGCAGGAAGTGTGGGTCAGGGGAAATCCTCTCACAAGCTCTTAACTATCCTAACAGATATGGGCAGATAAGGCCAGTATGAATTCCACAGAAGTCACTGGGGGCAAAGGACCAGGAGAGAATGGCAGACTGGAGTGACACATCATACCTCTGCACAGAGGCAAACCATGGAATTTAGTTCTCATCAGGATTATGAATTCTGTATCCACCACCACAAAATTCCAAGTCCACGCAAGCACACAGATAAATTGGCAACTTTGCCATAATGTATAGCTACGATAATTTTAGCCCAGAATTTTTTTTTTAAACAGAGTCTTGCTCTATCACTCAGGCTAGAGTACAGTGATGTGATCTCAGCTCACTGCAACCTCCACCTCCCAGGTTCAAGCGATTCTCCCGCCTCAGCCTCCTGAGCAGCTGGAACTACAGGCGCGCGCCACCACACCCTGCTAATTTTTGTATTTTTGGTAGATACAAGGTTTCACCATATTGGCCAGGCTGGTCTCGAGCTCCTGACCTTGTGATCACCCTCCTCAGCCTCCCAAAGTGCTGAGATTAAAGGCGTGAGCTACCGCGCCTGGCCATTTTTCTTTTTAGTAGAGATGAGGTTTCACCACGTTGGCCAGGCTGGTCTCAAACTCCTGACCTCAGGTGATCCACCCCCCTTGGCCTCCCAAAGTGCTGGGATTATAGGCATGAGCCACCGTGCCCAGCTATAGCCCAGAAAATTTTAAAGCAGGTATTCTTCAATATCTCCTTTGGCCTTAAAAAAAAAAATCCAGGGCCAGGCGTGGTGGCTCAAGCCTGTAATCCCAGCACTTTGGGAGGCCGAGGCGGGTGGATCACGAGGTCAAGAGATCGAGACCATCCTGGTCAACACGGTGAAACCCCGTCTCTACTAAAAATACAAAAAATTAGCTGGGCATGGTGGCGCGTGCCTGTAATCCCAGCTACTCAGGAGGCTGAGGCAGGAGAATTGCCTGAACCCAGGAGGTGGAGGCTGCGGTGAGCCGACATCGTGCCATTGCACTCCAGCCTGGGTAACAAGAGCGAAACTCCGTCCCAGAAAAAAAAAAAAAAAAATCCAAATAAAAATTGGCAGAACATTTATCTTTAAGCAATGTGACTTTATTTACATATTCTTTCCTTTATTCTTTCTTTCTTTATTTATTTTAATTCACTATCCAGTAATGGCTATAAGCAACTTTATTTTTTTGAGCTGGGGTTTTGCTCTTGCTGCCCAGGCTGGAGTGCAATAGCGCAATCTCAGCTCACTGCAACGTCGCCTCCTGGGTTCAGGCAATTCTCCTGGCTCAGCTTCCCAAGTAGCTGGGATTACAAGCATCTGCCACCATGTCTGGCTAATTTTTGTATTTTTAGTAGAGACAGGGTTTCACCATGTTGGCCAGGCTGGTCTCAAACTCCTGACCTCACATGATCTGCCCACCTTGGCCTCCCAAAGTGCTGGGATTACAGGTGTGAGCCACCGCGCCCGACCACTTTCCTTTTTTCTATAAATATTTATTGCCTAACATGTACTAAGCCCTGAGCTAGGCTCTGGGGGATGCACACATGGTTAATAATCTATATAATCTTTATTTAACTTTTTTTGAGACAGAGTCTCTCTCTGACACCTGGCCGGAGTGCCGTGGCACAGTCTGCTCACTGCAACCTCCACCTCCCAGTTCAAGTGATTCTTCCGTCTCAGCCTCCTGAGCAGCTGGGACCACGGGCACATGCCACCACACCTGGCTAATTTTTTGGATTTATTTTTTGTAGAAACGGGGTTTCACCATGTTGGCCATGATGGTCTTGATCTCTTGACTTCATGATCCTCCCACATTGGCCTACCAAAGTGGTGGGATTACAGGCATGAGACACTTTGCCCAGCCCAAGACACTGGTTTTTAAAATACCTACATTGCATGCCATACAATTGCTAGCCATAAGTGATTTGCACATTGGCCTCAAGCATTGGTTAGAAGCCCAGGTCTTGGGAAGGGCTCCACCCCAGTCCTAGTACTTCTCAGGCGAGCAAATCTGCAAGTCATTTCACCTCTCTGAGCTGCCTGTAAAATGGGGATGACAGTACCCACCACATAGGACAGCCGTGATGAGTATAGCATACACAAACATCCACAAACCCTTTATCATACGCCTGGAGCATGTATATGCTCCATAAAAGTTAGCTATCCTGGTTACAAAGTATGGGTTTGGAACGCTTTCATTGGGCAGGAATGAGAGAGTAAGGCTGCCAGACATCATTAAGGTCTCCTTTGGCTTTTTCTTTCTTTTTTTTTTTTTTGAGACAGGGTCTTGCTCTGTCACCCGGGCTGGAGTGCAGTGGTGTTATCACAGCTCACTGCAGCCTTGAATTTCTGGGCTCAAGCGATCCTCCTGCATCAGCCTCCCACGTAGCTGGGACTACAAGCCCATGCCAGCATGCCTGGCTAATTTAAAAAAATTTTTTTCTTTGGGAGGCCGAGGCGGGTGGATCACGAGGTCAAGAGATCGAGACCATCCTGGTCAACATGGTGAAACCCCGTCTCTACTAAAAATACAAAAAAATTAGCTGGGCATGGTGGCGCGTGCCTGTAATCCCAGCTACTCAGGAGGCTGAGGCAGGAGAATTGCCTGAAACCAGGAGGCGGAGGTTGCGGTGAGCCGAGATCGCGCCATTGCACTCCAGCCTGGGTAACGAGCGAAACTCCGTCTCAAAAAAAAAAAAAAATTTTTTTTGTAGTGACAGAATCTCCCTATGTTGCCCAGGCTGATCTCGAACTCCTGGGCTCAAGCGATCCTCCTGCCTTGACCTCCCACAGTGTTGGAATTACAGGTATGAGCCACTGCACCTGGTCTGCCTTAGTTTCTGACAATAAATTATCTGCAAAAAGGACAAGGCCCACCGTTTGGTTCTCGTCACACTATTGTAGTGGCTCAGAGTACAGCCCTGGGGGTCAAACAGCATGGGTGTGTGCCCAGCTCTACCACTTTCTAGCTGTGTCTTCCTGGGCGAGTCACTTAGCCCTCTAAGCCTTGGTTTCCATATTTGTGCTGGGGGAGAGCAACAGTGCCCACCTCGTGGCAGTGCTGTGTGGATAAAATATGGCCTGCATATGGCAGGCACTGATAACTGCCACCGGTCCAGTCCAGAGCGGGCTGGCTGTAAACCAGAACCTTTCTCAGAGGACAGCTTGGGAGAGGAGGAAAGGGCAAACAGCAGAGGTAGATCAATCAACTAATCATGGAGATCAATGACATATGTGGTGACCAGAGTGCCCTCTGGTCTTAATCAATGACTCAGAGAGAACAGTGCACGCCATGTGCTCAATGATACGGCTGTACAGGCTCACATTCAGCAGATGAGCTCTGCTTCTGTCTGAATCTTCCCACTCTGCACTGGTGTCACTGGGCAGGTGACACCTACACTGTCTCCCCACTGTACGTCACCTGGTTTGGGTGAGGTCCCAGTCCTTTTGAATCTAATTTTTGTCTTCTAGGTTTTTGGTACTCCCATCTAATTGAATACTAACTGCAAATGTTATGAGTGTATTCCCTGCTCCTCGCCATTTAACATCTGGGTCTCTGGGTATTGAGGTATGGAAAATGGGGCTATAAATCCCCAGATGTCAGGATTAGGGGGTGTGTGGGTGGCTGAACAAGTCTGGCACTTAGAGATGCTCATTAGCCCTTTGTTCAAGGACATGGTGAGCACTGGATTCCAGGAGGGGCTTGCATGGGCGCTGTCCAAGGTGGCCAATGTTTTTAACCTCAGCGCATACAGGAGGGAAGGAGATGGTGCTGGGTGAGTCTACCAGGTCAACGGTTCATGAACTAGCAGACCAGCCTCATGTGGGTGGGGTGGGACCCTTCCTCTTTGATTTCTGAAACCACTTCAGTTACTCCCAGGGTCCCCGCCCGCTTGCTGTTTACAAGGCTGACGCTGCCCAGCTCTCCTGATGACAACTTTAATGCCACTCAGAAAGGATTAAGATCTTACTTAAACATACACACAAAGCTCCCTTGGGCACAGCTGTCAAGCTGAAGAGCTGAGGCGGCAAACCTTGTTAAAAAAAAAAAAAAACTGCCGGCAATAAAGTTGGAGACATCACGAGGGAGATCCTCATGTTCAGAGGCCTGGCTGGCAGACTCTTCCTGCAGAAATCCACGCTCTCCCCAGCTCACTTCACCCGCCTCACCTCCCACTAGGGAGAGGGCAGAAGGTGGAAAGCTCACTCTGGCCACTATCCATGAGGGATGATCACCCGCCACATCCACGTGTGCCGAGTCAGCTGGAAGCCCAGACGCCTTCAGATGGAGCGAGGGCTCACTGTCTCTTAGGCCAGACCCCCAGTGAGCAGTGGGTCAGGCAAGGGGACTGCGGTTGGTCTGGGTAGCGGCCAGCTCTCCTTTTGGGGACAGGTACTACGTAGCCAGGGCAGCGCCTGGCTCCACTCACCCCTTTGGTTCCCCTGTGGGGATCTCACTGTGTCCTTCCAGTTTTTGGAGCACTGTTGTTCCATTTGTTGCCTCACTCACTCCACCCTCCTAGCAACCCTACAGGCAGATCTCATTAGTTCCCTCTTAAAGCTTAACATGGCCAAAAGAGGTTAGGAAATTTCCCCAAGCTCACAGAGCTACTGCATGGTGGTGTGAGACTGACAGTCGGTTGGCCAGCCTGCCCCAAATCCAGTGCTCTCCTCCCTCGTCCTGCTACACACCTCCCTCTCTGGGCAACAGTCCCCTCTCCAGCCTCCTGGGGAGGTGGGTGTGCCTGGAGGACAGCCCGGTAAGTCAGGAGCCTTGGAGATGAGGATCTTCTGTGTGTCCTGGAAGCCTGGGGCTTGCTCTGCCCCACAGGGTCTCCCAGCCTACCCTGGGGCAGTGTGCCTCTGTGGACATAGGGCCTACCTGCCACAACGCCAGCCACATAGACAAGCCCAATTCGGGTGGCTCCATGCACCATCTCCAGGGGCACTCCCACGAGCAGCTGCAGCACCACGTTGAGTCCCAGGTGTTCTATCCTGTGACAGAAAGACCACACTCATTCACCTATCCATCCATCCATTCATTCATTCAACAAACACCTGCATCTCCCAAGATGCCAGGGATCTAGCAGTGAGCAAGACCATCTCTGCCTCTGAGGAGCTCATGGTCTGGGGGAAGGAATGACAATTTAGACAGATCATCTTAGAAAGAGCATTCCTTCCAGCTGAGACAGAAACACATGTGCAGGGCCTGGGCGGTGACTGGCAGCATTTCACTTGGCACTGTGAGACTAACCACAGTCAAGATCCAGCAACTAGGCTGGGCACAGTGGCCCATGCCTGTAAGCCCAGCACTTTGAGAGGCAGGAGGATCGCTTGAACTCAGGAGTTCAAGATCAGCCTGGGCAACATAGTGAGACCCCATCTCTTAAAAAAAAAAAATCCAGCAACTCCATCAGTTAACACGTGGAAAACTAAGGCTCACAGATAGCCAGTGACCAGCCAGTTAGTGGCTACGCTGGGACCACAGCCCAGGTCTCTAATCTGCCTGATCTGCTTCATTCACTGGGCCATGTAGTCATTCTAGCTCTGTTTGTTTTATTGTCTTTTTGTTTTTGAGACGGAGTCTGCCTCTGTCAATCAGGCTGAAATGCAGTGGGGAGTGATATCTGTTCACTGCAACCTCTGCCTCCCGGGTTCAAGCAATTCTCCTGTCTCAGCCACCCAAGTAGTTGGGATTACAGGCATGGGCCACCATGCCCAGCTAATTTTTGTATATTTAGTAGAGATGGGGTTTCACCATGTTGGCCAGGCTGGTCTTGAACTCCTGACCTTAAGTGATAACACCTGCCTCACATTATAGGATTACAGTTGGGATTACAGGTGTGAGCCATTGCGCCCGGCCATGTTCTGGCTCTATTGGTAAGAGCTACAGATGTTTAAAGAAAAATATGTTCTTAAAACAAGTGCAGGCATTGAAGATACATCTTGTAACTTAATAATTCAATGTTTTCCCTTAAAGTCTCATAAGGAAGGTTTCTCTTTCCTGCTGTAAAAGAGACCTTGGCTGGACATGGTGGCTCACGCCTGTAATCCCAGCACTTTGGGAGGCCAAGGTGGGTAGATCACAAGGTCAGGAGTTCAACGCCAGCCTGGCCTTGAACTACTAAAAATACAAAATACAAAAATTAGCCAGTCATCTACTAAAAATACAAAAATTAGCCAGGCATCGTGGTGTGCCCCTGTAGTCCCAGCCACTTGGGAGGCTGACGCAGGAGAAACGCTTGAACCTGGGAGGCAGAGGCTGCAGTGAGCCGAGATTGTACAACTGCACTCCAGCCTGGGTGACAGAGTGAGATTCTATCTCAAAGAAAAGAAAAAAGAAGAGAAAGACCTATTCTGCTCCAAAACCCTCAGGACTGGGAGATGGGACCCCAGGCTTTCTGACATTGTGAATGCCTTTTTCCCCATACTACCTGTGACTAGATATTGCTGCTAAAATTGTGGGGTGTCTAGCTGTGTGCATGTTACCAGAAAAGATTGTAACATGACTATTAGTAAGTCAATCTGGTGCTTTCAACTTTACAAAGCACTTTAACACCCACTGTCTCATTTACATTGAGCTGACAGCCCCTGGGCAGCTCCCGGGGGATGCTGTCTGTCAGGAAGTAACACAGCCTGTAACAGAGAGGCTGGGCCCTGCCAGGAGGCCCAGCTATGCTGCACAGAGAAACGATGGGCAACACGTGGGCACCTGCTTACTCAGGAGTGTACCTGCAAGGTAGTGTAGACATGTTAGGCTGTGTCCTGGACTCTACTATGTTACAATCTTCTACCCACCACTGATTGCTAGCTAAAGGATTTTAGGGAGATTAGACGTATCAGGAAAAGTCACTGGAAAGGGTGCTGGTGACATCAGATTCACAGGCGGAGGGGCCTTTCAGGTTTTTCCAGCACCATGCCCTGTTTTACAGTCTCAGAACCTGAAACTAGAAGAAGCCAGGGGAGGAACTCAAGGCTCCTGCCTCCTTCTGAGCTCTTCTTTACCACACTGGCTTCTGGATTCCCAGGCCTACAGTATGTCTCTGAGTAACAGGTCATTTTTTTTTCAGGTCCCTTTTTTTTTTTTTGAGACAGGGTTTCACTCCGTTTCCCAGGCTGGAGTGCAGAAGCGCAATCTTGGCTCACTGTAGGCTTGACCTCCTGGGCTCAAGTGATCCTCCCACCTCAGCCCCCGGAGTAGCTGAGACTATAGCCAAACACCACCTGACTTGGCTTTTTTTATTTTTTGTCGAGAGAGGATCTCACTATGTTGCCCATGCAGATCTCAAACTCCTGGCCTCAAGTGATCCTCCTACCTTGGCCTCCCAAAATGCTGGGATTACAGGTGTGAGCCAATATGCCCGGTTAACAGGTCACTTTGCTGCGACCTCCCTAGACACTGGCCAGCTGTCCCTGTCTCCTGTCTACTGCTGTGTCTATCTCTGTTGCACCAGGCAAGAGCCCCTTGCTCAAAATCCACAGACCTGGAGACTCCTCCAAGGACTCTTCCTGGCAGGCGTTGCCCCCTCAAAGCAACTACTGGAAAAAGGCCCAGGCCAGCCCTCTAGGCCTCAACTGAGGGCATCTGAGCCCTGTCCACTGTGAGCACACTGCTTTCGGCTCCAGGAGGCAGAGGATGGAGCAAGGAGGCTTTGGTTATTCTCCTTCCTCACCCTGAGGCACCAAGAGAGGTCAGGGGGCAGTCCTGGAAAGAAGGCAGACAGTCCGAACCCATGTGCAGCCACTGGTTTGTGCTGCCTGGGCAGGGCAGCCCCGTGTCTGTTGTCCTCCCTGGCTCATGAGTGGATGTGAGTGAAGCATGACAGCCCTCTCGCTGCTCGTTAGCCCTGTGAGATTGAAGCCTGGGGCAAACCAGACAAGGGAAGCAGCCTGTACCAACGATCCTCTTCAGCCCGAGCAGAGGCGTTCATTCACATCTCTTCACCCGAAAGCACCTCCCTCACAGGTGCAGCCAATTCGGGATTAGCTCTTGCACCTGCTTTAGAGGCTCAAGGGAAGGGAAGCTCATGGGACAACTCACTCTTGGCCATTGTGGGTCTTTCTGATGGTGTCACTGGGGCCAGAGTGACCCCCTTCCCAGTTCCCATCCCAGGGCCAGGCACCCCCAGGGTTTTTCCCAGACTAACAGTGAGCTCCTTCACTTCTCTGGAGAGGCTGCAGAAGACACCACAGAGGCCTGGTGTCTGGGGTCTCTCCTCTCCCATCGCAGTGCTTCCACCACATAAAAGCCTGCAGACTGCTGTTTTTCAAAGGATGTGGACCTGGGTGGTCACCTGGCCAGCTGGTAGTTCCTTATCATGAAGTGGGAGGTACCAATGAGAACTGACTGTGCTCCAGCCCCCAAAGAGGCTACAGGGCTCTATAAATGGAAACTCTAATAATCTCCAGAGTTCCTCAAGAAGACCCTCTATGTATATGTGGAGACCACACTGGGAGGAACTGACGCACAATTATGGACAATGAATCTGGTGGCTTGATGTCTCTTTTTGCTTTGGCCGCTAGGAAGCTGAGAACAAATTTTCAAGACACCTCTAGCAAATACATAGAATCACATGCTGTGTATGTGTGTGCTCTCTCACTGCTGGCTTTTAGCATTTTCCTTCTTTTACAGTTTTCCCTTTCTCATTCACTCTCAATAATGTACCTGTATATTTTGGTATTAAATGAGTCTCAAGCAGCCATCTCAAATCCTGTGTCCAAGCAGATAAAAATAATCCAAAAACTATATTTTCAATCCAGGCTATCTTGACCACTTATTTTTCTGTAGGGTCTTTTGACAGAGCAAAAGAAGACAAGTACTCACCCTGCATGCATGAAGATGTATGTCAGGTATCGCCAAGCCTGTGCTCGCAGCTGTGGGTGGTAAACCAGCGAGTTCTTCAAGTAACGTGGATGAGTAACCTGCAGTACAAACTGACCTAGCGACACCCCATTGTAGAGGAAAAAGGCAACCTGGATGACAGCACAGAACGGAGAGAGCCTGTTACTAGGTGCCCACCGCCCAGGAAACTTCCTGTTGCTCTGACTAGCACGGGGAGTCCCTACAGGAAGTTATCATCTTTCTTTCTCAGAGAAAGAGGGATGCCCCATAGCCAGCGCCCAACAGAGCTTTTAGCCATCCCTCACCCACGTGTTTGCTTATTTTGTGTTAAATGGCCACAACATGGTCCCGGGGTCTCTTTGTCCATACTTCCTCAGTGCTAAGCAGAAAGGATTTGGAGGATATTGAACTTTAATTCCAGTAATAACTCATTCACCCACTTGGGAGATAACAAATTCCACACAGGTTGATTTTTTTAAAAACTGTAGTGAAATACACATAAAATTTACCATCTTTTTATTTATTTTTTATTTACTGTTTTTTTGAGACAGAGTCTCACTCTGTTGCCCAGGCTGGAGTGCAGTGGCATAATCTTGGCTCACTGCAATCTCTGCCGCCCAGGTTCAAGCAATTCTCCTGCCTCAGCCTCCCAAGTAGCTGGGATTACAGGTGCCTGACACCACACCCGGCTAATTTTTGTATTTTTAGTAGAGATGGGGTTTCACCATCTTAGCCAGGCTGGTCTCGAACACTCGACCTCATGATCCACCCACCTTGGACTCCCAAAGTACTGGGATTACAGACATGAGCCACCACGTCCAGCCAAAATTTACCATCTTAATCAGTTTTTTGGGTTTTTATTTTTGAGGTGGGGTCTCACTCTGTCACCCAGGCTGAAGTGCAATGATGCGATCTTGGCTCACTGCAACCTCTGCCGCCTGGGTTCAAGTGATTCTCCTGCCTCAGCCTTCCAAACATCTGGGATTACAGGAGTGAACAACCACGGCCTTCTGATTTTTGTGTCTTTAGTAGAGGTAGGGTTTCACCATGTTGGCCAGGCTGGTCTAGAACTCCTGACCTCAAGTGACCTGCCCACCTCAACCTCCCAAAGTGCTGGGATTGTAGGCGTGAGCCACTGTGCCTGGCCTTAATCAGTTCAGTGGCACTAAATGACATTCATGTTGCTGTGCTACCATCACTATCTATCCATAGAGCTCTTAATTTGTAAAACTGAAGCTCTATACCCACTGAACAATGACTCCCCATTCCCTGCTCCGTGCAGACCCTGGCAACCACCATTCTACTTTCCGTCTCCATGAATTTGACTACTCAGGTACGCCATATAAGTGGAACCATACAGAATTTGTCTTTTTGTGTCTGGCTTATTTCACTTGGTATAATACGGTCAAGATTTATCCATGTTGTAGCATGTGTCAGAATGCTCCCCCTCCCTTTTTTTTGAGACAGGGTCTCACTCTGTTGCCCAGGCTGGAGTGCAGTGGCGCAATCTCAGCTTGCAACTTCTACCTCCCAGGCTCAAATGATCCCACCTCAGTCTCCTGAGTAGCCAGGACTACAGGCACATGCCACCATGCTTGGCTAATTTTTGCACTTTTTGTGGAGACGGAGTCTCCCTATATTACCCAGGCTAGTCTTGAACTCCTGGGCTCAAGTGATCCTCCTACCTCCCCAAGTGCTGAAATTATAGGTGTGAGCCATTGCACCCAGCCTTCCCTTCCTTTTTTTTTCTTTGAGATGGAGTCTCGCTCTGTCACTCAGGCTGGAGTGTAGTGGCGTGATCTCACCTCACTGCAACCTCTACCTCCCTGGTTCAAGTGATTCTCTTGCCTCAGCCTCTCGAGTAGCTGGGATTACAGATGCACATCACTATACTCAGCTAATTTTTGTATTTTTAGTAGATACGGGGTTTCACTATGTTGGTTAGGCTGGCCTCAAATTCCCGACCTCAGGTGATCTACCCGCCTTGGCCTCCCAAAGTGCTCGGATTACAGGCGTGAGCCACCGCGCCCGGCCTCCACTATAAACATAGACCACATCATGTTTATCCATTCATTTACTGATGGACACTTGGGTTCTTCTACCTTTTGACTGTTGTGAACAGTATTATGAATATGAGTGTATCAATATCTCTTCCAGTCCCTTTCAATTCTTTTGGGATATATTCAGCAGTGGAATTGCTGGATCATACAGTAGTTCTATGTTTAATCTTTTGAGGCAACGGCAGACTATTTTCCATAGCAGCTGCACCATTTTACTTTCCTACCAACAGTGTACAAGGGTTCCAATTTCTCTGCATCTCGGCGACATTCCACAGTTGACTTTGCACAGGTGACAGAGTGTACTTGTTTAATCTCTAAAAGGGTATTTATCTTCACTCTTTTTTTTCTGGAACTCCTTTTAAAATGTATCATTTAAGTCCCTGTGTTCTTCATCAGGGCATACGCATAACTGTTTAAGAATATCTCAGGTATTGATCTGGGCTATAAGAGTGATATTTTCTCCAATAACCCCAGGAAGATAGCATTTTTTGTTTGTTTCTGTTTTGTTTTGAGACAGAGTCTTGCTCTGTCACCCAGGGTGGAGTGCAGTGGCATGATCTCGGCTCACCACAACCTCTGCCTCCCGGGTTCAAGGAAGTCTCATACCTCAGCCTTCCGAGTGGCTTGGATTACAGGCACCTGCCACCACGCATGGCTAATTTTTGTATTTTTAGTAGCGTCGAAGTTTCTACTAAAGCTATATTGGCCAGGCTGGTCTTGAACTCTTAACCTCAATGATTCGCCTGCCTCAGCCTCCCAAAGTGCTGGAATTACAGGCGTGAGCCGCCACGCCCAGCCAGGATAGTGTTTTTGCTTGTACACTCAAGGCCCCAAACTCTTTTTTTTTTCTTTTTTGAGACACAGTCTTGCTCTGTGGCCCAGGATGGAGTACAGTGGCACGATCTTGGTTCACTGCAACCTCCACCTCCCACGTTCAAGCGATTCTCCTGCCTCAGCCTCCCAAGTAGCTGGAATTACAGGTGTCCACCACCACACCCAGCTACTTTTTGTATTTTTAGTAGAGATGGGGCTTCACCATCTTGGCCAGGCTGGTCTTGAATTCCTGACCTCAAGTGATGCGTCCACCTTGGCCTCCCAAAGTGCTGGGCTTACAGGTGTGAGCTACCACATCTGGCCAAGGCCCCAAATTCTTGTATTCCTTTTTCTTTTCTCTTCTTTTTTTTTTTTTTTTTCCTGTTTTTGACAGGGTCTTGCTCTGTCACTCAGGCTGGAGTGTTATGGCATGGACACAGCTCACTGCAGCCTCAACCTCCTGGGCTGAAGCGATCCTCCGGCCTCAACCTCCCATGCAGTTGGGACCACAGGCATGCACCACCATAACTGGCTAATTTTTTGATTTTTTTTGTAGAGACAGAGTCTCACTTTGTTGTCCAGACTCTTGGGCTCAAGAAATCCTCCCGCCTTGACCTCTGAAAGTGCTGGCATTACAGGTGTGAGCCACCACACTCAGCTAATTCTTGTATTTAAGATTCGGGTCTGTTTTAAACTTTTGTCTCTTCCTTCCCTGCCAGGTTGCCGGCTACTACTTCTTATTGCTTGCTGGTAGTGGACCCCTTCATGGCTTCCTACCGTGTCCCTCCTGTTTTCCATTCATTATGGAATCCGAAAGCCAGGTTACCAGAACTGTAGAGAAGACAAAAGCCTTGGGTTTTATAGCACAAGGGTTTTGAGGTAGTTACTTCAGCTATTTGAGCACTTCCCAGTTTCTTCTAGATTGGTGGTTTGAGTTTACATAGCTGAGGTTCATCTGAACCAGTCTGGACACAAAATCCACTCCTTTTGATCAGCTTGGGAAAACTGAAGTCTCTGGCCCTCAGTTTCTTTATCTGGAAAGGGTACCAATGCCTAGACTTTCAGAGTGGCATGAGGTTTAAAAGTGATAAACTACACAAAAAGCCAGTCCCCTGCCCGGCACACACTTAGAGAAGGAAGCTATAATTAGTGGACTCGGCCTGGGAATGGCTTAGGCCCCTGGCAACTGTATTCTCCTGGGCTCTCTGAGGAGCCGTTCTGTCCACCTAGCACCATGCAGGTGGCCTGGCAGCAAATCCTGCTTCCAAGGCATCTCGTTATTATGGGGCCTCAAATAGAAGTTAATAAATAGACCAACACAGTAAGCACTTGAAGAACGAGTCCAAGGATATCTCAGAAAAATCGCAACTTCAACATGTACTTGGATGAAGCCATAACAACAAATAGGGAACGCTGGCCTGCAGACCAGATATTCTGATTTAGAAAAAGAAGAAGGATGCCGCCAAGCTTAACGATCCTGCCATTTGATGAGGCATGAACTTTACAAGAACATATGCAGAGGTGGTAATTAGGCCCGTGGCTTTGGAACGGAAACAGCGGAGATCATAAAATCCCAAAGCGAAGCCAAGCATCGTTCAGGAGCTGGAGCTAGGGTGGGCTGCACAGGTTCCTGAGTGGAGGAGCCAAAAGAATTGAGTTTCATCACACATGGGCACTAACACAGCAAGTGGTACCTTTGGATGATGTTGCATAAGCAGTGGAATTTAGCATAACAATAGGCACAGAGGATTCCCTAAGGGGAGAATGTTCTTTAAAATGTTAAGCCCATATTTACCTCTTCATACTCCCTCCCAGATGTGTTTGTCTGATGCTGTTGTGTTCAGAAAGCACCAACAGCCATTCTCTCACTTTAAATAGAGGTGTCCCGGGAGAGGGAGGGCAGATCTGGTTATTTCCGACTTTCAGGTGGGAAAATGGAGCAAATGCCTGGTCCACATTACCCACCTGAGGAGGAACTAAATAAACTGGCTTTAATGAGTCAGCCTGGCTAAATCCCCCAAGTCAATGGAATTATGACATTGTTTTTGTTGCTGTTGTTCTGGGGCGGGTGGGGGGCAGTGGTCCTATGGGGATTTGGCTACAATCAGTATTGTCTGAGGTAATAAACTTTGGAATATCTCTTTGCAGTCCAGGGTTATAACACTGGCATCTACTGCAACCGAGTCTGTCTAGCAATACAACCCTTATTTTTATTTATTTATTTATTTATTTTGAGACAGAGTTTCGCTCATTGCCCAGGCTGCAGTGCAATGGTGTGATCTTGGCTCACTGCAACCTCTGCCTCCTGGGATCAAGCAATTCTCCTGCCTCAGCCTCCCCAGTAGCTGGGATTACAGGCATGAGCCACCACGCCCGGCTAATTTTGTATTTTTAGTAGAGACAGGGTTTCTTCATGTTGATCAGCCTGGTCTCGAACTCCCAACCTCATGTGTTCCGCCTGCCTCAGCCTCCCAAAGTGCTGGGATTACAGGCATGAGCCACCTACCATGCCCGGCCTACAACTGTTATTTGATCCTTCATCCATTCTTCAATGGAGGAGAATGTCCCTCTTCCCCATGATCTGTGTCAGCCTCTCGGGTCCTCTCCCCATACCCAACACTCCCCAAGGCAGAGCAACCCCCACCCCCACCCTCGTCCTTGCCTCCAGCAGTGTGACTGTGATCATGAACCAGGGTGGGGGGCAGCAGGTGTAGCTGTCGTAGTACCACTTGCGGTCAATCTCCCGGGGCAGGGTCTCATAGGCCACATGGCGGATGAGTCGCTGCGAGAGGCTCAGCCCCTTCTCCTCCAGCAGGGCCTTGCTGCTTAGCCTGCGGTTGCCCTGCAGGATGGCTTGGCGGAAGCTGTTGGAACGTTTGTTGCTCATCTGTGCAGGAAAGGAGTGGGGAGAGGGTAAGAGCTGGGATCCAGCGGAGCCCCCACCCCCTTCCCAGCCAGCGTGTTCCTCACACCAGGCCTGACCCCGCATTTCCCTTTCTCCCATAATAGTTAATAAGAAGCAACATTCACCAAGCTCTTGTTAGGTGTCAGGCGTTAGTCTCAGCCCTTCATGTCTTTTGGCTCATTTGATGATCACCAGTCTTCCCACTAGATAAGGACTATAAACATCCCCATTCTATTGGATTAGGAAACCGAGGCACAGAGAGCTTTAGAATCCATCAAGTTCACACCCAGTAAGGCACCAGAGCCCGTATTTGTGTTCATAATTCTTTCCTTCATCCACTCATTCATCATCCGTCCATCACAATTTATTGAGCAACTACTAAGTGTCAGGCTCATTACCAGGCACAGGGAGGGATACAGTGGTGCTCAAGACAGATAAGTAACCAGCAACCACAGTTCAGAGTGATGGCTGCTGTGGGAGTACACAAGAGGGAGCCCAATCCAGTCCCAAGGGGGGTCAAGGAAGGCTTCCTGGAGGAGGTGGAGTCCGAGTGAGAATCAACGATGAGCAGGAGGTAGCACCCTCAGACATAATCTTGGGAAGAGGCAGGCAGCCCTTGGTTGGATGGGTTTGCAGAAAGGCCCCCAGAGCCAAAACCCAAGCTGTGCCTGGGGAAGGTCACCACTCCTGATGGCCTTCACAAGACCTGTAGTGCCCAGCAAGCCTGAGGACTGGTTGCAAAGCTCCGCCTGGGGACCGGCTCTACCCTCAGTGGCCTGAGGTTCCCCTGACACATCCTGGGTAGAGCTGTGGCAGCCTTGCTCAGAGCTCAGCCTGACTCCGAGACTGGAGGTGGCCCTGCTGACTCCTGGCCTCCCAAGGCCTCTGTGACCTCCTACCTGCCCTCCACGGCCAACTCTAGACCTTTCTTATAAAGAGAAATCCTAGAGACATGGCTCTCCCCACCCCACATCTCAGCTGTCCCACAGTTGCTGGTGTGGGCATTATCAATGTATTTCTGGGACTCTGGGCCCAGCAGTGGACATCAGGCTAACCCCGAAGGCAGGAGCCCAATGGGCTGGTGAGGTGAACCAGGCCAGATCATGGCACGGGGGTTGGAGGCCCTGTCAGAGGGCAGGTGGGTGAGGAGGATCTAGGTTCAGACCAGGTCAGGTGGTACGAAAGTCCATCGGCATGGTCCCCCGCCCTTGCATTCCTGAGCTCTGCTGTCTCTCACTGTCAAAATCTAGCTTAAATCTCGCCCCCTCCAGCAGGCCTTCCCAGATGAACCCTTTCCAACCATTCCCTATCTCCATCCTCTCCATGCTTACAAAGCTTGGATTTGGTTCTTCTCAATGGCCCAGGAGCTCTGTAAATGTAAGCCAGGGTTAGGGTCCTTGTGCACATTGCGAGCCCAAGACAGAATCATGTTGTCAGATTATTTCGTGGCCACTCTTACCTGTCCCTCTCCCAGTCCCTGAGGATGTACATGCACAGGGGCGTGCAGAGCACACAACTCACACTCATACACACACACAGGGCCCAGAGGCCCTGAAGACCTGTGGTGGGAGCTGGCTCAGCAGGAGTACACACTCACCATCCACCGACATCCTTCACATGCCCAGCGCTGTGCTGGGCACAGTCGTGACCACGCTCTCGGCTTCATGGAGCTTACGAGGGGAGACAGAAGTGTAAAAACAGCAAGAGAGGGTGCCATCGTGGTTATTTGGTGCCCCATACTATTCCGACATTACAAATATGGGATCTGAAGCTTGGAGAGGGTAATTTCCCCGAGGACTCCTACTTAGTAAACCACAAAGTCAGGACTCAAATCCAGACTGCCTGACTCCAGAGTCCATGCTAGCCCATGCGGAGCTGTTGTGCCAATTAGATAAAGGAGTCTCTTCTGGATGGGTGCACCCATGCCAGGCCTTGGTGGGCAAAGTCCAGGCCAGATTTCAGTCTCCATCATCCCTTAGCCAGGCACCCTTGTTCAGTATACAACCTGCACACCCATACAGGACTACCTGGGCTGCTCAGCTGTAATGCAGTGTGGTGGTCTGTACTGCGAGAGAAGCCCGGGCAAGGCACTGCAGGGCCTCTGAAAAAGGCTGTCTCGCTCTGCCTGGACTGGCAGGTAAAGGCTCACAAAGGATGCAGAGGAGTTTACCTGGTGGAAGACCATTAAGAGACATCAAAAACATTCAAATACTTTATTTGATCCTTGCAACAGCCCTGAAGAGGGGATCCTTTGGCTTCATTTTACAAATGGGAAAACCCAGGTTCAGAAGCTCTTTCCCAGTGAGTGGTAAAGGCAGAGCCAGACCAGGACCCAGGTTTGCTAGACTCCAGGTCCTCAGCTCTCTGCCCTACTGAGAGCTTCCCCCTGCTGAGTTCCTTCTTTGTCTGCTCTCCACGGCAGCCCTGCTCATACGGATCCAGTGCAGAATTTGAACACAGAAATCCCAGCAGTAACAAGTAACTTGCTGTCCTGAGCTCAGACAGAGGCTCCACTGACCCCTGGCTGGAGAGAAGGCACTCATGGGCGCCGCATGCCCTACTCTGCCCTATGACCAAGCGAACACACAGGCGCTGGGGCTATGGATGGGCCTGGGCAGGCTCAAACCCTTGGTCTGGCCTTTGGTGGCCGTACTGGGCTCCAAGTCACAGGACTCACCCCCACCGCCCAACCTATGAATCCTGACTGTGCCCCTCCCTGCTCAGCTCAGTTCTGTCCCTTGCCCTCCATGAGGTCTACTCTCTGGCACCACTCTGAACAGCAGTAGATTCCTCCACTCCCAAAAGCCCCACAGCAGCTCCCTATAATTACATGCCAATCCCCGGGCCAAGGCTGGCCCTCAGCTAAGAGGCTGTTGAAACATATCTCCTGCCTGGGCATCCACATCAGAGCATTCGTGAGGCCCAATGACAGGCTCGAGTGGTGGCGGCTCCCCCATCACTGGTGCCTTTGAATTCCAGGAACCTGGGGCGCTTCACACAAGTCATTTCACTCTTGCTCCCTCCACGGGTGACATGAAGAGACGTAACCAGCTCCATCTCACCAACAGGGAAACCCAGCGAAAAACTCTGGGTTTTGTATTCATCCTGTTTATTCACACAGCTTCTACAGATGTCATCTGCACCCCGTGGTGGGTAAAATGCTGTCTGCTTAACCCCACTAAACCCCAGTCCACAGTAGACACTGAAAGAGCACAGCATTAACTCTCAGTGAGGGGGGGTCTGCTCTGAGATAATCAGGCCACTGGGCAGGACTCATGGGCCTCCCTTCTCCAGCCCCTTTGGCAGCCCAGGGCATCTGCTGAGCAGATCTGCGGAGCTCTGGCTCTGCCACGTGCTGCACTGACCCCCCTGGCCCTCACTCCCCAGCCCCTTCTCCTGCCACCAAGACCCTGTCTAGTCCCAGCCCTTCATTTTGGTGGAATTGACCCTACTCTCAGCTCCAGGGGTGGGGCAATGATTGGTTTAAGTCAATCTACCCATCCTACTGCCCAATCTAGGCCAATGGGAGGGAGAAAATCCCAGGCCTTGTGCAAGAGCTACCACAAGAAGAATCCATTTTAATCATTCCCTCTCCCTCTTTCTGTGTGTGTGTGTGTCTGTGTACGTGTGTGTGTCTGTGTGTGTGTATGTGTGTCTGTGTGTGTGTGTACGTGTGTGTCTGTGTGTGTGTGTGTGTATGTGTGTCTCTGTGTGTGTGTACGTGTGTGTGTGTGTGTGTGTGTGTGTGTGTCCCCTCTCCTCTGCAAGGTGCAGCCTGAGGGTATGAGAGCTGCAACAGCTGCAGACACTTTGCTGCCACAATGCGAGGGTCTGAAATTGCCAGGCGCTGCTTTGGGGATGGGCTGGCGCTGCAGAGGGCAGAGCCTAGAGACAAAGAGAACACGAGTCCTGGGTGGTGTCCTTTCACCCGCAGAAGCCTGCACATTTTCAATGCTGCAGGCCAACAGATCCTTTTAATTGCCTAAATCCTTTAAATATGTGGAAGCCACAACCTTCAAATAGGTCCCTTCCAGTAGCGAGGGCCCCAGAGTACTCACCAAGTTCACAAAATCCTGGTAGCAGATCTGCCCGTCCGCATGGCTGTCGGCGAGGGCCAGGAGCACCTCCCTTTTGTGCGGGTCCAGCTTGGAGCTGTGGCTCTCCAGAAGGCTCCGGAACTTGCCTGTGCTGATGTAGCCCGTGTTCCCAGGGTCACACTGAAGGAAAAGCAGACAGCAGCAGGGTCAGCAGGGCACCACCTCCTCTTCACACTGATGTGGGTGCCCCGATCTCCACCACCATTCACACTGGCCTCAGTCCCCATTCCCTGGCCAACAGAAGCCCAGGCAGTGTCTGGGAGGTTTCCAAGGACCCCACACACACACACCCCGGAAACATCTAGATAGGCACAACAATCACTTAGAATCCTAGAGGATCTGCAGACCTTCAGGATCACCCAATGCAACCATCTCATGTGGATAAGAAAACGGAGGCTGAGTCAAACTGCCTCCTCTCACCATGGAGAGGGAAGTGCTAACGAAGAGCCAGGAAGATGAGAAACTTCTGGGGCCTGGGCAGGGGAGAGGACAGCAGGAGGAGGACATTTCAGCTGTGACTGGCAAAGGGAAAGGGGACAGGGCCAAAGGGAGTCCAGGGGAGATGCCAGAGGGCCCTGGGGAGCAAGAAGCACCGCCTTGCAAGTCCTTCTGCCCCTGGCCGCCCTCTCACGGCCCCTCCCACACACCCAGGCAGGCAGGACTGGCCGGGCTCCCCGAGACACTCTGCTCTGGTTTTCATATTGTTTTGGAGGGTGTCTGCACACACGCCTGAGTATGAGTTGCGCATCTGTGTGTTTTACACCGTGCTTTTATGGTTTGCAGTTTTGCACACGTGGGTCCCTCTGCCTGGGATTTTCTTTCTGCCTTTATCTCCCTGGGAGACTCCGACTCACCCTTCCTGACTACTCAGATGTCCCCTTCTCTTCGAAGCTCCCCCAGGCGTGGCCTGTTCTCACTGCACCCCCTGCTCTGTCCAGACCTCTGGGCCTCCAGCCCACACTGGTTCTCACTGCTTTTGCCTCCTCCTTGGATCACGGCGCCTCGCAGGTCGGTATCAAAACTTACCCGGTGCTTAGCACAGAGCCTGGCATTACCAGCACTCAATCAAGATTTGTTGGATGAATAAACAGTGGGTGTTCAGATGAACAGACAGGCACAGATTTTCCATGAAAAGCCTCATCAGTTCACTTAGAAAAGGCAGGATCTTAGTCACCTCTCCCAGAGACCTTATCATTTCTGTCCCTCTTTCCTCATGGAACCCACCCAAGGCCCATGGCAACACTTTTAACACCAGGCATCTCCTGGGTGCCAGGAGCTTTCCTGTTCACCAGATACCTCCCTACATAAGACTCCCCTGCCTCCTGGAGATGTGGCTGTGAGTTGTTTAAAAGGCAAACAGACATGGGAGTGTGCATGTGTGAGATGAGGGAGTCTGGAATACCAAACCCATGTTTCCCCCTTTCTAGATGGTCAATGAAGGCTATTTTAGGAAAATGGATTCTGTGTGCAGCATTTCTGAGACACTCCAAGAGCCACAGTCAGGAGTCCCAGTCATGGGCCATTTCAATTCTCCTCAGAATTCAACAAGGACAGACGTCTCCAATGAGGTCTGTTGTGTTGTTTTGTTTTGTTTTGTTTTAGACAGGATCTCACTCCAGCACCCAGGCTGGAGTGAAGTGGTGCCATGATAGCTCACTGCAGCCTCGACCTCCTGGGCTCAAGCAATCCTCCCACCTCAGCCTCTCAAGTAGCTGGGACCACAGTTGTGTGCCACCACAACCAGCTAGTTTTTAAATTTTTAAAGACTTTTTGTAGCAATGGGTTCTGTGTTTCCCAGGCTGATCTCAATCACTCAAGCAATCCTCCTGCCTCAGCCTGCCAAGGTACTGGGATTACAGGCGTGAGCCCCCGCACCTGACCCCGAGGCATATTTTAAAACCTGTACATCTTCCACCTTCAAGCCAAAATACCAGGATTCAGGGATGACATCTCTCTGGTTCACAACATCAAGTATTTCAGGAAACTTCCCTACTCGTTGCTCAGTAACCAACTTGAAGAATAAAAACACTTAATATTTGCTGAGTGTTTTCCCAGAGCCAAATACCGTTTTAAGCACTTTATGGATATAATGTCTTTGACCCCCTACAACGACCTTATGCAGCAGATCCTATCGATGTCCCTGTTTACAGATGAGGAAATAGAGGCACAGAAAAGTTGCCCAGAGAGGTGAAGTGATTTGCCTGGCAAGCGGCAGGGCCAGGATTCCACGTCCAGGCGGCCGAGCACTCCTCTAAGCCATGGACAGGTGCCACTGACCTCCAGCTCCAGGGCCGGCTCTGCTGCCCAGACACAAAATTTAAGGACCAAAGAGGTGAGTGTGGGCCCAATAGAAGAAGGGGCTTTAGGAGTCTCACAGCCCTAGCGTAGGCAGAGATCCTTAAAAGCAGGAAAGAGCCCTGGACAGCAACAGCTCTGACCTCCTTCACTGCTCAGCTAAGGGAATGGAGCCTGGAGGGGTGGTGTGGCAATGGCAGCCAGGGAGGGGCCGTTTCCTTGGTGCCTGGGACCCCTCCCATCTCTGCAAGCCACCTGGGCCAACCCCTACTCCATCACAGGGTCTCAGTAGCCTGGCCCTCCTGTGCTCAGTGGTCAGATGAGGGGGATGCAGGCCGAGAAGGAGCAGGTGGAGTCCTGGGAAGCCCCACAGTGGGCGCTGCAGGGGGGCCAAGGTCAGTGGCTCATCTTGTGCAGTCTCTTCTGCCTCGGCCTGGGGGAGGGAGCCCAGTGGCTTTGCCTGCCCCAGGAGCAGGCACCAATCCCCTCCTAGGGGCTGCCTTCCTGGCTGGGGAGGGCCGTGGGGTGGGGGTGTGGTGGTGGGGGGACTGGGATCAAGCTCCAGACAAAGAACCACCTGCTCTCCCCCTCATCTTCCCCTCCAGGGCTCCCTGCTGTTGTCCTAGTGACAGGGGCTGCCCTGTGGCTCCTCAAGCCCCCACCCCCCACCAGGGCCTGCCTGCCCTGCCCTGAGCATAGTAACAGGCTCCAGACAGTAGAGAACAAGCTGGAATCAGGCCGAGCCTCGGTTCTCTGCCAAAACTCTACCTTTCATGGCAGGGCCAGACAGGCCAGACAATGGGGGGTCACCACTACCCTAATAATGAGGCCTCAGGGATGCCCAGAGGATGTCTGGGGGAGGGAGGGGCAGCAATGGGCCGGCTGCCTGGGCTCCGTGAATGCACAGGGCACCTTTCGACCCCCACCCCTGGGAGGATGAGAGCAAGGGCAGGCGCTGACAGTGGGCGTGGGGCGTGGGGGAGAGAGAAAGGGGCAAAGGGAGAAAGAACCAGGGAGAGAGCCAGAGAGAGCGTGAGTGCCCAGAAAGCAGGAGAGAAGTGAGTCCCATTGCCCCAGAAGGAAGCTGGGAGCTTCTAACAGAGGCTGCACCCCTCACTCAGGGGCAGCAAGGGACAAGGCAAACCTCATGCTTATGTCCGCCACTAACCAGGGTTTGTGAAATTTATAGTAAACTCCTGAGCCACAGTTGCCTCATCTATAAAGTGGGTACCTTCCTGTTGCAGGGCAGCAGCTCCCCAGGGTCCGGGCTAGCAGACCAGACCAGGTTCACTTGCTGCAAACCTGGGAGCACCCCACTGTGATGGAGGTGTGGCCGACCCTCTCTGGGCATGCATTCTCCCCTTCCACCTTCTTCACAGCCTGCTTAAGGCGGATGGGACTGGGATCTCTAGGGAGATTAAAGTGTGGTTTGGAGCTTTCGGGAAAACAAGCCCTATCAACGCAATTTCCTTGTTAATACCGTGCCACTGGTCATGAAGCTCCCCTCCCCCAGGCACTCTGTGACCCGGATTCACCCACAATGGTAGTGAGGTGCTCAGGATGGGGTCTGGGCGGCCTGACCCGGGCTGCTCTGGGGCTGGTCATGGCAGCTGTTAGAATGTGGGCTGTGAATGGGCTGCAAGGGCCCAGTGGGGAGCCAGGAGCCTGGGCGGCCTCCTGAATAGGGCTCAGCGTCCTGGAGGGAGGGGCGGCCACATCCACATTCAGCTTGAGCAGGAGGACACAGGCGCACGGAGGAGCCGGCCGCCCACCTGCCTCGCCTCTAATCACACCAGCACCCAGCATCCGACCCTAATCCTCTAGGTCACAGCTTGCCCCAGCCTGAGGCCTCACACACACTCTGCCATCTCCTGCTTTCCATGCTGGACCCCTTCCTGGGGTGCTCAGCCCACCTAGGTGGGGGAGCTGACCCACTGGATTCTCTCTGTATTGTCATCTGGGGCAAGGGGAGGAAGAGAGTTCCAGGGGGAGGCTCCACTCGCAGCTGTTGTGCCATCTTGGGTAGTTCTTTCAACCACCCTGCCTCAGTTTCTCCATCAATCAAGCAGAAACTCTTCTCAGGGAGATGTAAAGAGGCCACTCGCCCTGTGCACATAAGTGTGCCATATGGAAACGGGGGGTAGGAAATGAGAAATCCACAACCCATGGGGGCAGCCGATCTTCTATCAGAATCTTTGCACGGTTAAGGGGCTACAGGACATCTGGGATAAGAGCAGGCAATTCCACAGGGGAGTGAGGAAGGGCTGGGGCCATTCACATCTGTGCTGTCCAAGGGGCCTGGCCACACTGGGGAGAGGGGCAGCAGGTCAGGGAATCAGAAATGGCAGTGCAGGAGAGCCGGGAGGAAAGTCAGTAGTTTTCAAACTCGCTGCAGAGTTCTAGGGACTGCGGGGCCTCTCAGGCCCAGAGGTGCTGAGGAGGGACTAGAGCAGTCCCCAGCCTGCCTCAGACAGGGCAGCTCCACTCAGAGCTAGTTCATGTGCTGGCTTTCTGCATACGATCCCAGTGAACAGCAACATGGTAAGGGCTGATATGTGTGGAACGTTTGCTGTGTATCGGGCACCCCCGATACTGAAACCTCAGTCCACCACCCAGCCTGGTTTTTCTGTGAAAGTCCTGGCATATACCTGCTGTCCAAGCATAATTATTATTGTTGTTGTTTAAAAAACAACAGGATCTTGCTCTGTTGCCCAGGCTGGGGTGCAGTGGTGTGACTGTAGCTCACCATAGCCTTGAATTCCTGGGCTCAAGCAATCTTTCTGCTTTGGCTTCCTGAGTAGCTGGGACCACAGGTATGTGCTAGC